TCACAAGGCTTTTTCAGATCCAAGAAAGATCATTGTATCAGAGATAAAGATTTTATAATTTTTTTTTCAACTGTTGATTGATCGTATTCTTCTTGATTCTACTTAGGTAACTTCTAAACTTTGAGACTTCATGCTTGTAATAGAGCAGCAGCTGAGATGTACTCTGAAAATGGTTGGTAGCTGTCATTTCTCAGCTATCACTTTGCTGAACAGAGCTTGAAACTAAATTGAATGTAGGTTGTAAAGATTTCCTGACTTTGTAGCCCTTAAATTGTGAAGATTCATTTCTGCCTTTCATGTGTATGGGCATGCATCTGCTTGTAGCTGACAAGAACTTTCATTCATAATCAAGGTTACTTAAGATTGTGCTTCCATTTTATACGTAGGTATAAACAAAAGGCACTGTTCCTAAAAAAACGTGGAAGAGAAATTTCTAGAAATTTAAAATAGGTAAATTGGAGGGGATGCTTTTGTGTTACTTGTTAATATGAAGCCACTTAACGATGTACATTTTGCAAAGCAAAAGAGAGAGAATGAAGATGTAGGGTAGAATTTGAATTAGAGGATTCGCGTTACAAAAGTCACAGATTTGTAGAAATAGCATTACCTTTCTCAGCATTAGCTTCTCTTAATGCACATCTTTGGTTTTCTATACAAAATAGGCTGCCATTCCTTCTGTGCTTTTCAGCTGGTACGGAGATGCTAGGTAGTAACTGGTGTCTAGATGCAAAAAAGACAGGGTAGATTAAATCGCCTCAGAGCATGCTTGATCAGACTTCTCTAAAACTCATCAAAGAACTGTGATATAGTAGTGTTCTTGATTTTTGTGAAATTTCTGTTACTACTGCATCTTCGTTGTTGGAGCTTCTAAGGAGGAAACAATGGAACAACGCTAATGTTTAATCAAGAGCTTGGCCTTGTCTTGTTGCCAGCTGGAACTGCTCAAAAAAGCATCTGAGACCATGAGTCCACTAAAGAAAACTGCTGATAACATGTATGTGATTATTAAGAGAAAGTAAGAAGGTGAGAACAGAGCTGATGTGTGTGTTACAGTTCTCTGTAAAAGTTCTGTCTCAATCAAAAAAAAAAAAAAGAAACCAAAAGAAAAATCCATTCGTTCTGTTGAGCCCACTGTTTTCCTGTATAAATCAGTAGTTTGCTTCTTTTCTTAAATGAAAGAACAAACAATATAAAGCACCAAGTTTCTTGATCTAAATTTTCTCCTTGCGTCGTATTCTAGAATGGCAAAGGTACAGGTCCACCACCTTGGTGTCAAAATGGGATGATATGCTTCTGATATTACTGGAGATTTTGAGGTAGTTGCAAAAATGTGAAGAGGGAATGAAAATGTGGAGAACAAGTAGATAAAAAGTTGACCAAAATGAGTTCTTCAATGGGGAATCATGATTTGCTTTGTGTGTATCTTACTGCGCAGAGGCAGTGACTGGAATTAAAGCATAGTAAAATTAGGTCAAATGAGAGGGGGGACTGCCTTTTATGCTTGTAAACGGTCTGGTATTTATTGTTATGGCTGATCAAGGTAAACAGGCTGAATTGTTTAAATGATCATTTTTTTAAAAAGGGGCAACACGAAAGAGAGGAAGAAAAGCAAAACAGGACTTAATGCTCTAATTGACTTTTAAAGGAGAGCCCCTCTCTGCATGGTATTTGTGATGCCAGTGAAAAGGAGTCACTTTCTTACTCCACAGTTGTCAATCTCTGTGTTAGAGCACATCTGGGGAAATAGTACAAGTTGTTCTTTTGGTCATGAATTTGAGCGTGTGAGTAAATAACATAGGATATGGGATGAAGATTCTCCATCCTTTTTGTCACTATGTGATAAAGCTGTTTCTGTTTAGGTGTGATGTTTTATAAACTACAGTATCAACATTTAATAAAATAAATGGTATTTTGATTTAAATGAAAACAAACTCACTGTATCTGCCCAGGTGTAGGATTTCCTTAGTCAGACTATGTCTTGCAGTACTCTTTATATTTTTTAACACTAAAAGAGAAAAATTGCTTTTAACATTTAAATTTGAAGTATTTATTGTACTTTTTCTGTTTATATGATTACTATGGCACTAATGGATGAATTCTGAGAAACTACTCTGCAGAAAATTGACTACTGTTAATGATTTTTATGTGATAGGTACAGAAAAACAGATTTTAAGGAAGATGGAAATTTAATAAAATTAACAACAGATTATGTAATCATCTGAGCACTTGTTATGAGAGTTTCTTGTTATTTTAGCTGTTTTCTTTGAATAGGTTTTGTATTTAAAAATATTCCTGTTGTCTCTGTAATCAAAGCTCCAATTTTTAAGTGTACATTTTTAGTGAAGTGGACAGTTCTGGTGTTGTTCTGCTTACTGCACTGCATTGCTATTTTGAAAGACAGCTGTACCATCTGGAGGACTTTATGGTCTTTGGTCCTAACCCTGCTGATTCTTATGGCCATATATAATGTTATTTCCTTGACTTACTGAATGCAAGTTTCTGTGTTCAAAATCAGTTTCAAACCTCTGAATTGAAGTTCCCAACACCCTTGAGTTATTCTGACCTCTCTGTTATAAGAAGGAAAGTCCAGTGACTTCAGTCTCAAGTCCTGCATCGCTGTACTCCTCCCCACTAAATGCAGCTCTCTTTTCCAGTGCTTTAAGTTCATTCTTAAAGGTTGTTCAATTATGTGTTGGTTGAAATAATTTGTAACTTGCTTTGAGAAACTGGTCTCAACGTTTTGTAAATCTAATTTTTGCTAGCTCAAGACCACTATTATGGTTGTGGGATTTTTTGTGCTGGTGGTTTTGGTATTTACTGATACATGACTCCTTAATATTTATTCATCGAGAGTGTATTCACAGCATAATTTTAGCACTTGTTGGCATTGATATGTTTGAAAAATACAATGAACAATGGAGGTATTATTGTATACAGTAATTGTCAGTGTGTATCTTTATGGTTTGAGTATGAGTATTATCTTGATTTAATGCTTATCAAGAAGTATTCTATCTGTATAAATAATGCAGCCAAAACTGAATTTTAAGAAACCAAAGCCACAATTACAGTAGGAGAACTTGACAGTCTCCTTATTGCTGAGTGTAAATTTAATGTAAGATTATATATTTCATGTTGCACGATATTCTGGATTCTTTATTATGTGTGAAGATTTAAGGTTTTACAATTATAACTGAAATACAAAATGAACTAAACTTAAATCAAATTACAATAGTCAAAAGACTTTGTTTTGCACATGTTATAAAGCAAGTGTTGTGTTTATAAGTTTTATCTCTGGTACATTTGACCAAGAGCAAATTTGGAATGTGGGCAGCTGTAGGAGAGGACGCAAGAAATTTTAGATACCAAAAAAGGCATAAGGATTTTAGCAGTAAATGTAACAGCTCTTATTTTCTTATGCCATGAACAATGAAAGAATTAATGCTGCCATGAAATTATTCTACAGAATTTTCAGAAATAACCTGTTATGGGTCATGTTACACTTCTGAGAGTTACTGTCTGAGGTTTT